ACTGACTGCTATTCAATCTATTACAGTGAAAAAAAGTGTTTTTTGTTTTTAAATACAAGCTTTGTGTCACCAGATCTAAGTGGTGGCAATGGTCACCGTATCCACTGTTAGCGTAACACACCCGCTTTAAGGACACTGACTGCTATTCAATATATAACAGTGAAAAAAGTGGTTGGTTTTTTTTAAATACAAGCTTTGTATCACCAGATCTAAGTGGTGGCAATGGTCACCGTATCCACTGTTAGCGTAACACACCCGCTTTAAGGACACTGACTGCTATTCAATCTATAACAGTGAAAAAAGTGTTTTTTTTTAATACAAGCTTTGTGTCACCAGATCTAAGTGGTGGCAATGGTCACCGTATCCACTGTTAGCGTAACACACCCGCTTTAAGGACACTGACTGCTATTCAATCTATAACACATGCGGACCTTTTTAAGTCCTACGCATCGCCACAGCCCTTCGGGATCCACCCTTAGAGAGCAACTCGACCGACAGGTAGCAGACTACCTCGCCTTAACTGCAGATATCGACACTCTGAGGAGCGATGAACCCTTGACTACTGGGTGTGCAGGCTTGACCTGTGGCCTGAGCTATCCCAATTTTATGCGATAGAACTTCTGGCCTGCCCCTTCAAGTGTCCTGTCAGAAAGGACCTTCAGTGCAGCAGGAGGTATTGTCACTGAGAAGAGAAGCCTAGGTCAAAAGTCTAGATTACCTCACCTTTATTAAGATGAATGAGGGATGGATCCCGAAGGGACTGACACTGGGCGATACATTAGATTAAAAAAGGCCTGATGAGATGAGCTGCCTTGGGCTAAAAATGGTCCACACGCTGCTGTATTTTAGCTCTGAATGCCGGTTGACTTGCGTGACTTATCCGCCACCAACTAGGGTTCAAGCCGTCATGTTTTAGGGCACTTTCTGCCTGTGAAACAAACATCAATTATAGATTGAATAGCAGTTAGTTGTCTCAAAGCGGGTGTGTCAGGCTCACAGTGGATACTTTGCCCAGTGCCACCACTCACTCACTGGTGTCACAATAGCTTGCATTTAAAAACAAAAAACTTTTTTCACTGTTATAGACTGAATAGCAGTTAGTTGTCTCAAAGCGGGTGTGTCAGCCCTACAGTGTGTACTCTGCCAGTTTACTGTGCCACTCATATCTGGTGTCATAATAGCTTGCATTTAAAAACAAAAAACTTTTTTCACTGTTATAGACTGAATAGCAGTTAGTTGTCTCAAAGCGGGTGTGTCAGCCCTACAGCGTGTACTCTGCCAGTTCAAAGTGCCACTCATATCTGGTGTCATAATAGCTTGCATTTAAAAACAAAAAACTTTTTTCACTGTTATAGATTGAATAGCAGTTAGTTGTCTTAAAGCGGGTGTGTAAGCCCTACAGTGTGTACTCTGCCAGTTTACAGTGCCACTCATATCTGGTGTCATAATAGCTTGCATTTAAAAACAAAAAACTTTTTTCACTGTTATAGATTGAATAGCAGTTAGTTGTCTGCCAGCAGGTGTGTCAGGCTCACAGTGGATACTGTGCCCAGTGCCACCACTCACTCACTGGTACCCGGACGAAATTTATTTTCACAAAAGGCAATCCCCAACCTGTACTCGATTGTGCAAAAGGAAATAATGGCATGTCTGGCACACAGTGTTGGGGCAAGGGTCCATCTGACCACTGATACCTGGTCTGTAAAGCATGGTCAGGGCAGGTATATCACCTACACTGCGCATTGGGCAAACCTGCTGACGGCTGCCAAGCATGGAATGCGTGGCTCTGCAGAGGAGTTGGTGACACCGCCACGACTTGCAGGCAGGCCTGCTGCCACCTCCTCTACTCCTCCTACTCCATCCTCTTCCATAACCTCCTCGGCTGAGTCCTCTTCTGCTGCTGCGTCTTGCTCCACATCAACGGATAGGGGACGTAACAGTGATTAAACTGATAACAATAGTACTAAACACACCACTCCTATCTGGTGGCACATTAGATTGCACGCGCAGTGCCCCAAATTTGTTGTGATCTGTGAGTAAGGTAAACGGTTGTCCATACAAGTAAGGTTGCAGCTTTTTGAGGGCCCACACCACCGCCAGGCACTCCTTTTCAATGGCAGTGTATCTACTTCCCTGGGCAAAAGTTTCCGGCTTAGATAAGCCCCGGGTTGCTCGCCGCCATCTGCTCCGACTTGGCTCAGTACTGCTCCCAATCCAAACATAGAAGCGTCTGTATGGACGAGAAAGCGTTTAGTTGGATCAGGAGCAGAAAGTACAGGTGATTTAATGAGCACCGTCTTGAGCTGTTGGAAGGCCTGTTCACACTCTGGGGCCCATACTACTATCTTGGGGAGGTTTTTACGCGTTCCTATATGGCACTTACTGGGCTTTAGGGTCAGTCCGGACTCCCTAATCAGGTCTATTACGGCTCCTATGTGGGTCAGGTGTTCGGGCCAGGAGCAGCTATAAATGGCTATATCATCCAAGTAGGCGCAGGCATACTCCTGAAACCCATCCAGTAGCTGATCTACCATCCTCTGAAAGTTAGCCGGGGCATTCTTCATCCCGAATAGCATGACCTTAAACTGATACAGGCCAAACAAGGTGACAAATGCCGACTTGTGGATGGCGTCCTCGGCTAATGGAATTTGCCAGTACCCCTTGCACAGATCTATTGTGGTGAGGTACTGGCCTCTGGCCATTTTGTCTAGGAACTCGTCTATCCGGGGCATAGGATAGGCATCTGAGGTTGTTCACATGGAGCATGCGCTTGCCTCCCGTGCCTGTGACAAACCTGCTCTACCACCTTGTATGGGCCCTGCCAGGAAGTCTGCAGCTTGTCCTTGTGGACAGTGTCAATCCATATCTGCCAAGTGACCCTATGTAGGGGAACAGTCCCTATTCTGATCTGTGTCAGTGTGTATCAGGGGCTCTGAGGACAGGTGTCAATCCATATCTGCCAAGTGACCCTATGTAGGAGGAACAGTCCCTATTCTGCTCTGTGTCAGTGTGTATCACGGATCCTTAGGACAGGTGTCAATCCATATCTGCCAAGTGACCCTATGTAGGGGGACCAGTCTCTATTCTGCTCTGTGTCCGTGTGCATCAGGGGCTCTGAGGACAGGTGTCAATCCATATGTCAAGGTGTCAATATGTCATATGTCAGGTGTCAATCCATATTGATTGTGATTTAGGAATGTTAGGTGATTTCTGCCCTTTATGGATTAAAACCAGACTCTGTATCAACTGTGTAATTTTCCATGGGAGTTTTGCCATGGATCCCCCTCCGGCATGCCACAGTCCAGGTGTTAGTCCCCTTGAAACAACTTTTCCATCACTATTGTGGCCAGAAAGAGTCCCTGTGTGTTTTAAAATTCGCCTGCCCATTGAAGTCTATGGTGGTTCGCGCGGTTCGCCGGTTCGCGAACATTTGCGGAAGTTCGCGTTCGCCGTTCGCGAACCGAAAATTTCGTGTTCGCGACATCACTACTATCTATTCTTTACATTGTCACTATTAATTGCAGAATGATGATCAATAATGCATTACCTTAATGTATTGGGTTTATTACCAACTTATTGCATTCAGCATGGCAATTTTAAAAACAAAAAATGGTATCTTGAAAATAATTTAGTACTTTATTAGAAATTTCTCTTATATTTTCATATGTGTGAACCCTGCACATATTTTAGAGAAGCTACATTTGTGGCATCCTACAGATATATTCATTAACAAACGGTTGCAATGATGTTCCTTTTAGAAGAATACTTCTGCCAGAGATTTGGAGCAGTAAATCTCTATGTACTATATTCTTTTTCAGCTGGGTAAGTACCACCTAATGAGATTCCACCATTGCCACTTTATTTTAATGATGCCGCACCTTTTAAAGGAAAACTTCCAGATGATTGCAAGTCATTCCATTGCTGGCACATTGCACAGTCAGCTCCAACCTCCTTGTAGAGAGAGAGACAGTTGGGCACTGTATAATTCTTGTTTTTTCAGCCTACCTGCTCTTTGAAGCTGTCATTGGTCTCATTAAATGAGAGAACGGTCCCTTTAGAGAAGGTTGTTAGGGAGGTTCACTCAAAGGAGGCATTTGTCTTGAAATTCTATATTGCAGAAAATTTAATTATACTATAAACTGTTTCAGCTAGCGTAGCTTTTTCAAAAAGATATCTGTCAAACTACGGACTGTTGGCATACCCTTAACTCAACATATCATTATGCACTTTGGGTGTTACTTCCTGCAATCTGCTTGATAGAACATGGGTTTGTTAGCACATTTATTGATATTCCCACTATATAGCCGAACTGACACAAGTTGGGGATTTAAAAATCAGATCAATTGCTACATTTCGCATGTACAAGTCTTGCATTAAAAATATTGATAAAGGGTAAAGAGGGCACCTTTCCCTTTGTTTTGACATCATGTAATAAAATGCATTTACACTTTTTGATGCTATAAATAGATTCATTCCATTACCGCAAATAGTTCTGTTTGGAGAACATCAATCTGCCGTATTTATGATCTGTCATATGAAAATTAAGCAATGGGAGTATGCAGAAGGTGGACTCTGCCAAATGGCACGTCGATTGATCCTTGCAACCAGCAAATTCAATTGATTCCAATTTTAGAGTTAATCAAAGTGAAGCTGTAGTGTACTGTGGGTGTTCAGATTTGCCTAATCTGAGATCTTCTGTGAATCTGCATATAATTTGTTTATAGCTATAGACCTGTGACGAGTGTGATGAGATTGCAGTCAATGATAATATGCAAGAGTCAAGTTCATTCTCCAGAGTCATAGATATTCCA